ATCGGACTTGAACTGTTGCGTTAGTCAGGAGCCATGCTTTTACAGTGTCTCAAGATCTCAATACCCCCAAATTGATCTGGACATTACCTTCAACTACCTCAGTCATTTTACCATGGTTTTTGACACTTTTATACCTAAATCCTGCTCTTCGAGTTGTTCTTTGGCTTGGGCTCAGCATATCGCCTGCTTTTTTCTCTTTTTCGGACATTTGCCATTTTTGTTTCCAGGTCAAACAAGTGACAGAATCTGACGGAACCGTGTCAGGCACATTGCTAGTCACTCCTAATTGTCTCATGTTTGATCCTGATGTCACTCATCCACTAGTCAAGGAAAACGGACAAGACTTATATGGAATGGTAGCGAAGTACGTTTCTTTTTATTATAAGATTCCATTAATTTTTTTTTCTTTTGCTCTCAAGCATTTGCTTGCATGTGTTTCGAACTAGCTTGTTGCGTATACCCTCCGCATCATTATGAATGATGAGGTTGGGGCTCTGACCTCGCACGACCGCCTCGCTTAGGTTACGTCTCTTTCGTGAGCGTGCTCTTTGATCATTTCCCCACGCTGAGCTTCAAAAAAGTCAGCTTCAACCGCTGATTTGGCATGGGAAAATGATCAGAGAGCACGCTCGCGAAAGAGGTGCAGAGCCTAGGCGAGCCGGCCGCGCGGGGCCCGAGCCCCATGAACCCCATCACTAATGATACAGAGGGTATACAAAATGGCGTTTACATTGGCATGTTAACGATTCGGACAATGCAACTGTTGCCAGTGTGGTGGCGTGACAGCTTTTTGTTCGTTTTCTTAGAGACATCCTCAGTGCGATTAGCTTTGTCAGATACCTACGAGGTAGCTTTTGTTTATGGCGGTAACTCAACCATACCGGTATAAAAGGGATTAATCTTCTTTCACTACTGTAGTCATCGATATCAGGCTGTGCTCGCTAAATCTGTTCAGCTTCTTGTAGGAATTCTTTCTTTTTCAGCATGGATGAGATAGTCTCAGTATCAGTGTACAAAGATGTCGGTGCACTAACAGGCGACAAAGCTGAAAAGAAGAGAGATATCTTTGATCCAAATCATGTTCGAACCGAGCCTCCTAAGTCAGAATCGGTGGGTTGAACGTTACGTTTACCTATTTTGAAGGCAGCGTCCAGGCAAATCTGGAATTATGGGGATCTAACGTGGGTAGTAATTTTGGGGCTCTAGCTAAGCCACTGTTCAACCGGTAGCTCCCGATAGTGTATTAACGGCTGAGATATTTGCCTCCAAACTGGATCCCAGGATCGTACTTCGCATGGATTCATGGTGCAACCCATCAGTTTCGTAGGAACCACGCGAAACTGATGGGTTGCGCCATGAATCATGCGAATCACGATTCCGGGGTCCAGTTTCGAAGTGAATACCTCAGCCGAACACTACCTGGGCTGCCGGTTGGGCAGTGGCTTAGGGCCTCAAAATTACTATCCACTTGAGATCCCCCATATGTCCAGATATGCCTGGGCGCTGCCTCTAAGGTAGAAGGTATCTCGCTAGTGCATTCTACTAGTTACTTTTCCAAGTGGAGAATGTTGTTTTTGATTTTTTGACGTTTTGTTGTGGCATGTTGAAAAACCTTCTTTGTCGTAGATTTACATCGGGCATCAAACTTGTGACATTTCCGACAGTCATGTTCTAATGCAGCCGTGACGTTTTCGAAAGCTATACTTATAAGAGCGATGTGTTGCTAAGTAACCCACTTGAGAATGTGCGAAAGTGACGCATGAATGCGTCGGTTCGAAAGCTTAGCGAAACTGCGGTGCTCCTACTTTGCAGGGGAAGAGAAGTAAAATATTGGTAAAATCACGGGTTTTGCAAAGTTGCAGGGGGTTTTGAAAAGTTGAAAATAAGCGAAGATCATTAATTTATTAATTGAACAAGGCAACGTTGCTGTATTTTCAAAATTTAGGTGGCCGGAGGCGATATTGAGCTAATCCCTGAGTCGGAAGAGAAGGGTGTCCCTGAGGATCCAGTGCAAAGGGACCTTGGTATGTGGTGCAAAAGCCTTTTCTGGAACACTTGTTAGCAAATGAATTTCAAGTGTTTTTTGAGAATTTTTGTCCAATTTACTTTCGAAGCTGTGTTTTTGAAAGTTCTTTTTGCAGCAGCGGTGGAACCTGAGGTAGCCGCCGAAGCCGACACCATTGACAAGGTATGATCTTTCCTAGCAGTCAGAAACAATGTAAGAAGCTCCATCGACTTCTGTGTTGCCTGAAACTTTCTGACATTACACACATACAAAAGAATTTTTTACAGCCTGCAAAAGTCGGCAGTGAAGCGCACTTACCATCTATTGATGAAGAAACTCACAACTTGAAACCAGAAGAGGAGAAGAATAGGCGAAGTAGTGACTTAAGCGAAGGTACTATTCAGTTTTAACGTTTATGCGGACAGAGTTTTTTTTTTGAGATTTTCTTTTTTTT